GAGGCCCGAGCGGGGCGGGTCAGACAGTGGGCTGGAGGCCCGAGCGGAGGGAGACGGACAATGGGCTGGAGGCCCAGACGGAAGGAGATGGACAATGGGCTGGAGGCCCAGGCGCGGGAGATGGACAGTGGGCTGGAGGCCCGAGCGGGCAGATCAGACGGTGGGCTGGAGGGCCGAGTGGGCAGGTCAGACGGTGGGCTGGAGGCCCGAGTGGGCGGGTCAGACGGTGGGCTGGAGGCCCGAGCGGGCGGGTCAGTCGGTGGGCTGGAGGCCCGAGCAGGGTGGGACGGACAGTGGGCTGGAGGCCCAGGCGGAGGAAGATGGACAGTGGGCTGCAGGCCCGAGCGGGCGGGTTAGTCAGTGGGTTGGAGGCCTGATCGGGGTGGGACAATCAGTGGGCTGGAGGCCTGATCGGGGTGGGACAATCAGTGGGCTGGAGGCCCAGGCGGAGGGAGATGGACAGTGGGCTGGAGGCCTGAACGGGCGGGTCAGACAGTGGGCTGGAGGCTCGAGCAGGGTGGGATGGACAGTGGGCTGGAGGCCCAAACCAGAATGGGGACAGTTGTCGGACTGAGGACTAATGCAGGTGGTCAGTGGCTTGCAAACCCAGTCAGACCACTTGGGAAAACCCCCTGCATTATCATAGAATCCCTACAGTGTGGAAACATGCCAATCGGCCCAACAAGTCCACAGCGACTGTCTGATGAGTGTCCCACCCAAACTCACATACCTACTGTATCCCTGTAACGCTACATTTCCCATGGCTATTCCACCTAACCTACACATCCCTAGATACTATAGGTAATTTAACATAGCCAATCCACCTAACCTGCGCATTTTTGGACTGTGGTAGGAAACCAGAATGCCTGGAGGAAACTCATGCAGACATGGGGAGAATGTACCAACTCCACACAGGTAGTCGCCCAAGGCTGGAAGTAAACCCAGATCTCTGGCGCTGTGAGTCAGCAGTGCTAACCACTGAGCCACTCTGCCGCCAACCACTAAGATGCCACACCATCAGTTGATCTACTGCAATGCAATGTTTATCTGTAATCTGTTTATCTGAATATAATGTTTATCCTTTTAACTTTATTTCTTATTTTTCTAAATTATACTATGAATAATTGTAAGGTAACGTAACTTTTTCTTCATTTATTTCTCCATCTTGAATCTAAGACTTGGATCTAGGTACTTTTTCCCTAAGATGGTGCCGTGAGGGGCAACATTGTAAACTTTTCACTGTACTCCTGTACTTCAGTACATGTGACAATAAACCCAATTCTAACTTTATATTAGAGTTGATTTTAAAGACTTTATAACAATTGGAAGAAATTCATATCTTTCCTAATCTTCTGTAATAAAGTTAGAAGAGTTCTTAGTGATAAGCAAGTATTTAGGTTATTAGAAAATAATGCAGTGCAGTTGACAAATGTTTGGGAAACAGTATAATTGTCAGAAGCATTGTAAGATTTCAAAGACGGGTGATGGAGATATCTGGAAGACATCATGAGATTATGGGAGGACCTAGGGCTGTCCATAGACTTGTCGATCATTGATCGCACGTAAACTGGACTGGATGTATAGTTAGGGGTTGTGGTTGACAATGAGATCAATGTTGCATGTTATTAGTATAACAGGAAAAATATAAAAACATTGTATTCATCTGGGGAAAGTTAGTGTCATTGACCTCTTCTCCGATCTGAGCTGTAATTAAAGGGCAACTGGGTCCCACATGAAAGCCAGATTTGGAGCGGTCTCTGGCATCTTTCACATGTGGTAATAGAGCTCTGAATAAAGATCGCTTATGGTGCTGAACACAGAACCCAAGACTCCTCTTTGATATTTCTCCCTACAATAAATAAAATCTGGAGAAATGATTTTGTACTTTTAAAAATAAATTGTCAGTACCAGGTTGTTTCACAATAATTATAACTTATCTACTCCAAAACCTTAATTATAACTTACTACATCAAATGTCATCAACAGTAAAATTGGACAGGGTCTAAATCTTTTTGGTTTATTGAATATCTAGTTCTAAACAATGGTTCTTAATGTTTTTTGGATGTTTCACCTTTGCATGATACTGTTACATGAAATTTTCAGAAAGAGCGCTTTCTGATTTTCAGGATTCAATGCATACAAGCAACCTCTGGAAGCTGCAGTCAAATTTATTCCTTGGTAATGTTGATTGCTAGTAGCCATGTTCTTGTTGAATAGAGGGCAGGCTTGAGGAGCCAAATGGTCTATTTCTGCTTCTCTTTCTTATGACCCTTATTTCAACTGCAAAATCCAGTGTAAAGCACCAATGCATGACATATTTATGGTGACTGCAGCTATGCAATTGCAAGCCTATAATCATCAATTTACAAGATGGGTTGGGCAATGGGTGAGGGTGAAGGAGTGGAACAAGGCTCAGGAGAAGTAATTAAAATTTTCAAAACCGGTAATAGGACCAGTGTATAGAAATGGTCATGTATCTAATTTCAGCAGATAAGGGGAAAACTATAAGAAGAGGGGAACACAATGAAGGATTGAGGGTGTTGTACTTAAGTGCGCGCAGAATACGAAGAAAGGTAAATGAACTTATGGCACAGACTGAAATTGGCAGCTACAATGTTGCGAGCATCACAAAGATGTGGCTGCAAAGGGATCAGGGCTGGGAATCCAAGGATATAGAGTATCTGAGACGGTAGTTAGGGCAGTGGCATGCTCCTCCTGCAGAATGTGGGAGCTCAGGGAGACTTCCATTATCCCTGATGACTACATTTGTGGGAAGTGCACCCAGCTGCAGCTCCTGGGAGACCATGTTAGGGAGCTGGAGCTGGAGTTGGAGTTGGATGCACTCAGGATCATCCAAGATGCTGAGCACATCATAGATAAAAGTTTTAGTGAGGTCAGACCTAAGGTGGCCATCAATGAGAATACAGGAAGCATGCCAGGAATAAAAGAATGACGAGAGTAAGATTAGAGCCAGTCAAGGACAGTAGTGGGAAGTTGTGCGTGGAGTCTGAAGACATAGGAGAGGCGCTAAATGAATATTTTTCATCAGTATTCACACAGGAAAAAGACAATGTTGTCGAGGAGAATACTGAGATACAGGCTATTAGACTAGACGGATTGAGGTTCATAAGGAGGAGGTGTTAGCAATTCTGGAACGGGTGAAAATAGATAAGTCCCCTGGGCCGGATGGGATTTATCCTAGGATTCTCTGGGAAGCTAGAGAGGAGATTGCAGAACCTTTGGCTTTGATCTTTATGTCGTCATTGTCTACAGGAATAGTGCCAGAAGACTGGAGACTAGCAAATGTTGTCCCCTTGTTCAAGAAGGGGAGTAGAGACAACCCTGGTAATTATAGACCAGTGAGCCTTACTTCGGTTGTGGGTAAAGTGTTGGAAAGGATTATAAGAGATAGGATTTATAATCATCTAGAAAGGAATAATTTGATTAGGGATAATCAACACGGTTTTGTGAAAGGTAGGTCGTGCCTCACAAACCTTATTGAGTTCTTTGAGAAGGTGACCAAACAGGTGGATGAGGGTAAAGCGGTTGATGTGGTGTATATGGATTTCAGTAAAGCGTTTGATAAGGTTCCCCACAGTAGGCTATTGCAGAAAATATGGAGGCATGGGATTGAGGGTGATTTAGCGGTTTGGATCAGAAATTGGCTAGCTGTAAGAAGACAGAGGGTGGTGGTTGATGGGAAATGTTCATCCTGGAGTTCAGTTATTAGTGGTGTACCTCAAGGATCTGTTTTGGGGCCACTGCTGTTTGTCATTTTTATAAATGACCTGGATGAGGGCATAGAAGGATGGGTTAGTAAATTTGCGGATGACACCAAAGTCGGTGGAGTTGTGGATAGTGCGGAAGGATGTTGCAGGTTACAGAGGGACATAGATAAGCTGCAGAGCTGGGCTGAGAGGTGGCAAATGGAGTTTAATGCGGAAAAGTGTGAGGTGATTCACTTTGGAAGGAATAACAGGAATACAGAGTACTGGGCTAACGGTAAGATTCTTGGTAGTGTGGATGAGCAGAGAGATCTCGGTGTCCATGTGCATAGATCACTGAAAGTTGCCACCCAGGTTGATAGCGTTGTTAAGAAGGCGTACAGTATGTTAGGTTTTATTGGTAGAGGGATTGAGTTTCGGAGCCATGAGGTCATGTTGCAGCTGTACAAAACTCTGGTGCGGCCGCACTTGGAGTATTGCGTACAGTTCTGGTCGCCGCATTAGAGGAAGGATGTGGAAGCATTGGAAAGGGTGCAGAGGAGATTTACCAGGATGTTGCCTGGTATGGAGGGAAGATCTTATGAGGAAAGGCTGAGGGACTTGAGGCTGTTTTCGTTAGAGAGAAGAAGGTTAAGAGGTGACTTAATAGAGACATACAAGATGATCAGAGGATTAGATAGGGTGGACAGTGGGAGCCTTTTTCCTCGGATGGTGATGGCTCGCACGAGGGGACATAGCTTTAAATTGAGGGGTGATAGATATAGGACAGATGTCAAGAGGTAGGTTCTTTACTCAGAGAGTAGTAAGGGCGTGGAATGCCCTGCCTGCAAAAGTAGTAGACTCGCCAACTTTAAGGGCATTTAAATGGTCATTGGATAAACGTATGGATGATAATGGAATAGTGTAGGTTAGGCGGGCTTCAGATTGGTTTCATAGGTCGGCACAACATTGAGGGCCGAAGGGCCTGTACTGTGCTGTAATGTTCTATGTTCTATGTTCATGCCAGGAACAGCATCAGACATACTTATGCTACCAAACAGGACTACATGCATGCCAAACAGCACAAACAGCAAGTGATAGACAAAGCTAAGCGATCCCACAACCAATGGATCAGACCTAAGCTCTGCAGCCCTGCCACATCCAGCTGTAAATGGTGGTGGACAATTAAACAACTCTCTGGACGAGGAGACTCCACAAATATCCCCATCTTCAATGATGGAAGAGCCCAGAACATCCATGCAAAATATAAGGCTGAAGCTTTTGCAGCAATCTTCAGCCAGAAATGCCAAGTGGATGATCCTTCTCAGCTTCCTCCAGTGGTATCCAGCATCACAGATACCAGTCTTCAGCCAATTTGATTCATTCCATGTGATTGTCAAGAAACAGTTGGAGACACTGGATACTACAAAGGCAATAGTACTGAAGACTTGTGTTCCAGAATTTCTAGGTCCACCAGCCAAACTATTCCAATACAGTTACAACATTGACATCTACCCAACAATGCTGAAAATTGCCCAGTTATGATCTGTACACAAAAAGCAGGACAAATCCAACCTGACCAATTACTGCCCCATCGGTCTAACCTCCATTATTGGTAAAGTGATGGAAGGTTTCATCAACAAAGCTATCAGGCAGCACCTGTTCAGCACTAACCCAGTTTGGGCTCCATCAGAGCCACTCACCTCCTGACCTAATTACAACCTTGGTTGAAACATGGACAAAAGAGCTGAATTCCAGAGGTGAGGGGAGAATGACAGCTCTTGATATCAAAGTCACATTTGACCAAGTGTGGCATCAAGGAGCCCTGGCAAAACTGGAATCAAAGGGTATCAGGGGCAAACTGTCTGCTGGTTGGAAACATATTTAGCACATAGGAAGATGGTCATGGTTGTTGGAGGCTAGTCATCCCAGCTCCAGGACATCTCTGCAGAAGTTCCTTGATGTACTTGACCCAACCATCTTCGGCTGCTTCATCAATGACCTTCACCATCATCAGATCTGAAGTGGGGACATTCATCAATGATTGCACGATGTTCAACACAATTTGTAACTCCTTAGATACTGAAACAGTCTATGTTCAAATACAACAGGATCTGGACAGAATCCAGGCTTGAGCTGAAAAGTGCAAGTAACGTTTGCACCACAAAAATGCCAGGCAATGACTAATTTCAATAAGAGTCAATCTAACCACCTCCCCTTGATACTTAATGGTGTTTCCACAACTGAATTCTCCCACTATCAACATCCTGGGGGATTGGAAGGGGAACCTAGCAGGGAAGATATTGGGGCAGTAATGGCAGGAGTTTTTGGAGGTAATTCAGGAGGTGCAGGAGGAAGAAACATACTACAGGGAGGACAAGGCAAACATGATTGGTAAGGGAAGTCAGGGACAGCATAAAAGCAAAGGGAAAAGCATACAATGTGGTGAAGATGATTGGGAAGCTTTTAAAAACCAGGACAGGACAACTAAAAAACCAACAAGTGAGTGCAGGACGAAATATGAGAGTAAGCTAGCCAATAATACAAAAGAAAGCTGCAAGAGTTCTTTTCGATATGTAAAAAAAAAGGGGCGGCACATTAGCATTGCTGCTTCACAGTGGCAGGGACCCATGTTCGAATCCAGCCCTGGGTGACTGTCTGGGTGGAGTTTTCACATTCTCCCAGTGACTGTGTGGGCTTCTGCCAGGTGCTCTGATTTCCTCCCGCAGTCCAAAGATGTCCAGGTTAGGAGGATTGGCCAAGGCAAATGCAGGGTTATGATAGGGTTCGGGGTGCGCAGGTCTGGGGCTGGATAGGGTGTTCTTCAGAGGAGCAGTGCAGACTCAATGGGCAAAATATCCACTTTCCGCACAGTAGGGATTCTATGATACTTTGATTTCCATTCTATGAAAAAGATAATAGAGAGGCAAGAGTGGACATTGGACGACTGGAAAATGAGGCTAGAGAAGTGGTAATGGGTAAGAAAGAAATGGCGGAGGAAATGAATGGGTACTTTGCATCAGTCTTCAGGGTGGAAAACAGCAGTAGCATACTAGAACTTCATGTGAGTAAGGGGACAGAAGGGAGTGTATTGGCCATCACTAAGGAGAAGGTGCTGGGGAAGCTGAAGGGTCTAAAGGTGGATAAACTACCCAAACCAGATGGACTGCACCCTAGAGTTCTGAAGCGGATAGCTAAGGAGATTGTAGAGGACATTGCAAAGGAGAGCCAGTGGACATAATCTATTTGGATTTCCAGAAGGCTTGGACAAGGTACTGCATAGGAGCCTGCTAAATAAGAAAGGATTGGCTGATTTGCAGAAGGCATAGAGTAGGGATAAAGAGCTCTTTTTCAGGATTGCAGCTGATCAGTTGTGGAGTTTCACAGGGGTCCATGTTGGGACCACAACTAACATGTACAGGACACTGGTGAGGTCTCTTCTGGAGTACTGTGTGCAGTTCTGGTCGCCCTGCTAGAGGAAGGATATTATTAAATTGTAGAGAGTACAGAAAAAATTTACCAGAATTTTGCCGGGAATGGAGGATTTGAGTTATAAGAATAGGCTGCATACGCTTTTTCCACAGACCATAGCAGGTGAGTGATAGAAGGGTCAGGCATTGTTGAAGGAGCAGACTGCAGAAGGACTTGGACAAGCTGGCAGAATGGGCAAAGAAGTGACAGATGGAATGCAAAGTAGGAAAGTGTGAAGTTATACACTTCGGTCAGAAGAATAGAGGCACAGACTATTTTCCAAATGAGGAAAGGTTTCAGAAATCTGAAACGCAAAAGGGACTTAGGAGTCCTAGTTCAGAATTCTCTTGAGGTTAACATGCAGGTTCAACTGGCAGTTAGGAAGGCAAATGCAATGTTAGTACTCATTTCAACAGGGCTAGAATATAAGAGCAGGGATGTGCTGATGAGGCTATATTAGGCTCTGGTCAGACCACATTTGGAAAACAGAGTAGTTTTGGGTCCTGTAACTGAGGAAGGATGTGCTGGCCTTGGAGGAGTCTAGAGAAGGTTTACAAGAATAGTCTCAGAAATGAAGGGCTTGTCAAATGAGGAGTAGTTGAGGACTCTGGATCTGTTCTTGATGGAGTTTAGAAGGATCGGGGGGATCCCATTGAAACTTACAGAATATTGAGAGGCGTGGATACAGTGCAAATAGAGAAGATGTTTCCACTACCAGGAAAGGCTAGGACCCAAGGGCACAGCCTCACAGAGAAAGGACCACCCTTTAGAATTTTGATGAGAAGGAATCTTTTCAGCCAGAGGGTGGTGAATCTCTGGAACTCATTGCCCCAGAATGCTGTGGAGGCCAATTCTTTGAGTGTCTTCAAGACAGAGATAGATAGGTTCTTGATTAGTAAGAGCTCAAGGTTTACAGGTAGAAGGCCGGAGAATGGGGTTCAGAATCATATCAGCCACGACTGAATGGCTGGTCATACTCGATGGGCCAATTGGCCTAATTCTCCTTCCATATCCTACCGTCTAATGGAAATTAGATTTTTGGATAATTACATTCTCAAGGCATACCTAAACTTCTGCCATACTAGTATCTGAAAATACTTACTGTTCCTGAGAAAAGATTAATCACGTAACTATAGAAAAGGACAAGCTTGGTTTTAGGCTGTTCATACACTGTGCATTCTTGAGCTATGAGAAAGAAAAATAATAAAGGGTAAGATTTCCAATTAAAGACCAAGCTTCACCAAGGAATATTGTTAATTGCAACAATTTGCACTTAAGAACAAATAGAGATATCGGAAAAAGTGAACACCACAAAGCAAGACACTTCCTCAGAGAGGAAAATTAATAAAATCAAGTTGTGTAACAACTCAACAAATGTACTAATCACTTTTGGACCTTAGCATTATATGCTTAGGCCTTTTTGGCCAATTCCAGGAAGACAGGAAGTACGAATGATACTAGAAAAAAATGTTTTTATATAAAACATGGTCAGCCTGCAATTTCTTTTTGTGAAGTTCACATTAAATTCAAGGTTTTATATGTGCTCATTTATTATTACTTACAGTTTTGCAGAATTAAACATATACATACTTAATTAACTTTTAATAATGTGACAGTAAGCTGCCTTCTTGAACTGCTGCAATTACTGGAGTGCCAGTAAAACCACAGTGCCATTAGTCAGGGAGTTCCAGAATTTTGTCCCCATGACAACAAAGGAGCCCCAATTCAAGAGGGCAGCTCACCACAACTTTTTCAAGGAAAATTACAGATGGACAATAAATGCAGACCTAACTAGTAAATTAAAACAAAGAACTGCGGATGCTAGAGATTTAAAACAAATAAAAACAAACTGATGGAGAAACTCAGATAACA